ATGTTTGGAAATAGACCACAGGTTCTTTGAGTCTGTTGGCTGTCTCATAAAGAATTTTGTTTTTCCCAGAGGGTCAAAATTAATTAACGTCCTTACAATTTATTTAGCCGCCCATTGTTTCAGAGATGCCTACACAAGTTCACTGAGCCGTATTAGTATATCAAGGATGATATCATCAGGCTGCTTTGAAGAGAGTACTCTGGAAAAATATACTGTTTCAAGTAATGATTAACAGGGAGGATAATACAGTATTCTGTCCAAATAATTACTTTTCTTTATCTGTGGACGTTACTTGTGTACTATCTTGAATAACGACCAGATTCAATTTTCATGTGGCCTTTCATGAACTCACACAAGCTATAAAAGTTCAAAAAAGAAAATAAATATGGCCCTTAATAGTCTCTAATTGTTCCATTAAAAGGTATCAATTGATCACTCATGTCTGTCTCTTTGAATAATGTACAGAATATTTCCCACATCCACTGATTATACTTTTATCTTTTCCTAAACTGAGCCTATGATACTTTTGTACCATTAGTAGTATTATACTAGCAGACATGTTCTATGGTTTCCAAATACTGCCTTAAGATAAGGAAAGATTGCTGCAGATGTTATCAGAGGACCTCACAGACATCATATCTAAATGTTACTGTCCAGATCTTAGCAGCAAAAATGAAAATTGGTTTATTTCTCATAAGCTCTCAAGAAAGAGATATATGTATTTATCCTCAGGAACTATCATAGAAGTAAAAAAAAAAAACACGTCTAAATGTATTTTCACTGTTGTGATGTTTACTATAGTGAAAATGTTGGGAAATAATTTAAGAGTTTACCAGTAGATATTTTTTTTTATAAATTATGCTATGCCAAAAAAAGTAGAATATCGTGTTAAAAATATTTCATAACATATAAACTTTTTCATACTATATCCAATCTAGTAGAAAACTATTTTTATTTGAAAAGTGTACATTAAGAAAGAATTGCAAGATACACAAATATAAAGCTTATAGATGATTATATCATTCTATTGGCATTGCTAGAGAAGGGTTTTTTTCTGTTTATACATTTAAAATTTTAGAAAAAAGATGTATTGCTTAGTAATATGAAATTGATGAAAAGAAATATTGAAGAAAAAATAAGTATTAAAAAAGCAAAAAAGATAGCCATTCAGGGTCTTTCCATGGTAAAACTTAAAAATATCCACCACATTTTCCATAAACACATGTAGATGCTACCATCATGTATATTACATTTTCTTTTGAGGTGTAGTTGCTGTTTTTACCTGTTTTGTTTTTATTTTTAGATTTATTCTCGTTTATTTCAACCCTGTCACTCATCCAAGTAATCCACGTTAATAAACACATATATCCTTTTCTTATCTTTCTCTCCATGCTCATACAGTTATTCAAAGAGATATCTATATAGAGTTCTAAATGTGCACAAATAAGACTGCATCAGTCATTGTTGGTCTTAGAAAACACTGGACCATACTACAGACTCATTTTGTGTATTGCTTTATGCCTTTAATGATACGTTTTGGAAATCCCTACAAATCAACTGTATAGTGCTAAACTCTCTCTTTTTACTGGCTGCATGGTATTGAATGCTGTGGATTTAACAAGTTACACTGACCTCCAGGCTGTGCCTCCAGGTTCCCAAAAGGAAGTGATGTTATCCCCCAGGGGACAGCTAGCAGTTTTTTTTTTAATAATAAATTTATTTTTTATTGGTGTTCAATTTGCCAACATACAGAATAACACCCAGTGCTCATCCCGTCAAGTGCCCCCCTCAGTGCACGTCACCCATTCACCCCCACCCCCTGCCCTCCTCCCCTTCCACCACCCCTAGTTCGTTTCCCAGAGTTAGGAGTCTTTATGTTCTGTCTCCCTTTCTGATATTTCCTACCCATTTCTTCTCTCTTCCCTTCTATTCCCTTTCACTATTATTTATATTCCCCAAATGAATGAGAACATATAATGTTTGTCCTTCTCCAATTGACTTATTTCACTCAGCATAATACCCTCCAGTTTTTAAAGACCTTTTGAATTGTCAATAGCAGGGAGAAGAATGCTCCTGGTATCTAGCGGCTGGAGGTCAGGAAAACTGCCAAACATCAGTGTGTACAGGACAACACTATAATCATTAATCAGATTACCTAAAATGTTACTTGTGGCCAGAAGCACACCCACCAGGCATACTCTGATTTTAGGGCACTTGGCACTGGTTGACCCTTTGGCTGCAATACTTCCTTTGATTGTTTTGTTTTTAAGTTTTATTTAAATTCAATTAGTTAACATATAATCTGGTCTTGGTTTCAGAGGTAGAGGTCAATGATTCATCAGTTTTAGATTAACACCCAGTGCTCATTCCATCATGTGCCCTCCTTGACTTAGAAATCCAAACATCTCACAAGTCATCTTCTTCAAGTCTTTTTTGGAATGGTATTTTTCCCACCACAACCTAAATAACCCTTCTAGAAACTGCAATCCTTCCCCAACTGTAACACACACAACCATCCATATGCCTTCTCAATCCTACTTACTCTATTCCTTTTTCCACTCACTCGACTTCCAATGAGTCACATATTTTACTTACTATGTTTATTCGATTCCCTTTTCCTTCCTTCTAGAATGTGAACTCCACAGCAACAGTTGTGTTTTATTCACTAAAGTATCCCCAGCACCTAGAACAGTGCCTAGCATTCAAAAGGCCAATTAATGAACGAACAAGGGAACAAATAACAATTGTATGAATGAGGAACATTCGTTTTCTTTCACATTACTTTCAACTACAAATGATGCTGAAGTGAATACCCTGATACGTACGTGTTTATGTGTTGGTCTTATTCTTTCTATATGGCCAGAATGCTTTCCAAAATAGAAAACTTCCATCACCATGGATGTATCCTACTCTGACTACCTGTTCTCCATTTCTCAGCCATCTATTGGTGGTTTTTGAAAACCTTTCCCCATATTTTTTTTTGATTTGTATTTTTCTGATGACTTATGGACTTGAGTATCCTTTAATATTTTTGTTGATTATCCAAATTAGATCATCTGTCAATGAGTTATGCAGATCTTTTCTGATCGTTCAAACTTTTATTTCTAGTAAGTCTGTATCTATTTGGATACTACTTGTAATTGGCACACAAAAATTTGTTTTCTAACCTATTGTTTGCCTGCTGATTTTGTTTATAGAATTTTTAAGCCATACCTATAATTTTTCACCATCAAATATATACATCTTTTCTTTTGTGGCTTCCAGGCTTTTGGAAGTGAGATCCTACCTTTATATTGCACATAGTTTACCCTCTGTTTTCTTCCAAGAGTTTTCTTATTTTTATTTGTTGCATTTAAGTCTTGAATCAATCAAAATATATTTCTATATATGAAATCAATATAAAAGTAAAACTGGGGTTTAATTTCAATTAATTTCAGCAATATAACCATACTAATAAAGACTATCTTTTCCCCCATTGAATTGATGTCTGTTATATATTAAATCCTCCTAATTACTGACCTCAGTGTCTTGATTCCCTATCCTGTTCCATTAACCTATGATCCAGTGTATACTAACTTCATGCTTTAAAAAAAAACAAAACAAAACAAAAACTCACAAACCAAACTTGGTGAGGAAGAGGACATACAACTTGGTAGGTCAAAAGGAATAAGAATATTCAATTTGGAGATGAATTAGGATCCAACTGTAAAACAAAAATGATCACCTAGGCTATACCTGAACATCATGATATTTTCAATCTGCCTGAATATATAAATAATAAAAGTATTCTTCTTTTTTTACTAGTCATAAATTGGCTGAAACTACCTTGCATACTTTTTCTTTGAAAAGTCATTTTAATTAATCCCATTATAATCTTGTTCTTTTTCACTGTACCTATGCTTCAATTGTTTTGAGTGATATTGTATTAGAGTTCTCCAGAGAAGCAGAACCAATAAAATTTGTATGAATCTAGAAAGACATTTACCATAAGGAATTGGCTCATGTGATCACAGAGGCTGGTAAGCCCCATATCTGCAGTGTGGGCTGGCAAGCTGGAGACCAGAAAAGTCAATGGGGCAGAAGTCTGAATGCAGCCTAGTGGAGATTACCTCTTGCTCAGAGAGGGAGTCTTTTTTGTTCTATTTAGGTCTTCAACTGAATGGATGAGCCCCTCCCACCCCTTCCTCCCTATTATGGAGGGTAATTTACTCAAAGTTCACGGATTTAAATGTTAACCTCATCCAAAGACACTCTCCAAGCTGACACATAAAATAATCATCACAAATATCTAAAGTTATTTTTTATCCCTAAGAAAAGCAAGATTTTATCCCTAAGAAAAGTTATATCATAAAAAATTATTTTTTTAATCCTTAAGAAAAGTTAGAGTCCTATGAGGAGGAAGAAAAAAGTGCTGAATAGGCAACATTTCAGGGTAAAAGTAAATAAGAATACAAGCTTACTTTTACTCTCACCCTATTACCTATAAGACTATTAAGAATTCCATGAACCTCAAATCACAAGGAAGGAGGCAAACCTTGTCAAGAGTTTGTGATGTTCATTCCTTTTATCATCACTTACCTCTTATATCTCTGCTCCTACACTTCAGAGGGACTGGAACCAAAGAGTTGGCCAACTACTGGCCATTGTGGCAGCAGGAGAACTCTTATCATTGCTCAGCTTTGCCTACTGCATGCGTTAATCTGAATGTCCTCTACTCATTTCTGCCCCCAACTGGACACTTCATGAACACCATTAGGGGAGACTAGATAAAATCTGTGAGTCTCTTAAAATATGAGTCATGGATTTCCTTGCTGTAGCAATGTCAGTTCTGTGTCTATTCAATAATTCAGAGGTTACAAAAAAGGACTAATTCTCTTTTCATGAAGCCTATAGGGCTCTACCCACACACACACATAAGGAATGCTCTCTGATATTCATTCCAATAGTTAAGTAGATGTCCAGGAGTGAATCACTTGCCCTTGTATCTCTGCTAGATTCACCTGGGATGTGATCAAAGTCTGGACTCAATGCTCCCATAGGAATTCTGTTGCCAATGGCCCAGTCCAAGTCATCTTGAGAGTCCTAAGACTGCAGTCTATGGTCCAGTTTCCTGAAGTTGTTTCAAAATTGCAACTTCCTGCTGTGCTTGTATAGTGGCCTAAGGAAAAGAAAATTTTGATTAAAGTGTTCTGGAAATCCATTTTACACTTGGTATTATACTACATTTGTGATTATTTAAAATTAGTGCATGCATATTTTAATTTTATTTATTTATTTAGTTAGTTATTTATGATAGTCACACACAGAGAGAGAGAGAGAGAGAGAGAGGCAGAGACATAGGCAGAGGGAGAAGCAGGCTCCATGCACCGGGAGCCCGACGTGGGATTTGATCCCGGGTCTCCAGGATCGTGCCCTGGGCCAAAGGCAGGCACTAAACCTCTGCGCCACCCAAGGATCCCTATTTTAATGATTTATTAATAAATTTAAAGAACCAGGACATTTGCACCCATTGGTAATATCAATTGCACATGTAGCTTTTTTTTGTCACTTTATCAGAAATTCTAGAGGCAGTGCATGGATTTTGTCATTTATCCATGAAGGAGTTGTATGGATTGACTAATTATATCATAGATGATAAAACTGTGTCTACATATGAGCAATGAACATAATATTATGATAATATAGAGAAGTGAGGTCAAATAAGTAAATAGCTTAGTTGTCTAGAAGTTAATTCAGTCCTCTATTCCCTCTGGTGTTTGAACAGCATAGACCATTAGAGGGACAAAGTCATTAACTAAAAAAATGGTGCCTCTGGAGAAGTAGAAATGGTAGAGGGCACAGACCCTCTCAGCATACCATACCAAGCATCCACATACAATATTTCAAAGCTAGCCACTAAATACTGGGTTCTTTTCTAAGAATTGATTGATAACTCATTAAAATTATGTTACTCATAATGAGAAGAATTACCAGATAATAGCTGAATGTCTACTACTTAGTCATCTGTGGAAATTATCATCACACAATTGATACCTACCTTCATTTTTCTTTTCTTTTTTTTCTTTTCTTTTTTGCACAGAGGTTATTATTTTTTAGCATTCACTATAAAACTATGTTGTACAGACAGAATGTTTGCATGATTTAACCAGTATGAATCAATTGAGATTGTTATTGACTTTTCCTTCCTTTTTAGAAAGATGACATTTATGTTGCTTTTAATATTTCTTCTCCAGATTGTTTCCCGTTCATAACTTCCTCTTAACATAAAACTAATACCAGCATATAGAAACTGCATCAGAAAAAACCATGCTGCTAATATCGATACCAAACATATCACAAACAAGGTTTTAAATATTTCTACAGAAAATTTTCTGGATCCCTGACAATAGTTTCATTAATCAGTATTTATCTTCTCAGGCATGATTGCATCTTATCCCTAAAATCTAGAATTATTTTTAATTAACTGAATTTCTTTCATTCATTTGATATGACATAGATTGTATTTAATTTTATATGCTCATTTATGGGCTCTCTATATCCTCTTTTTATGTTTATTATTCCAATATCATGATATAAGTAGGTTTATATGGCTAAAGCAAGAAATCCAGTTTTCCATGTGTTTAGCTAACACAACTGCAAACATGAAGAATCTTCCAATATAAATACGAAACAACCATTATGTATTCCTTAGAATGATGTCACAACAGCTTCTACACTATTGCATTTCTACATAACTGACTCCCTACCACATAGGACCTATAAAAATTATTCTATCCTTTATGATTCTTTGTAACCACCCTTAAACCTGTTCCACCTTATCTAACATATGACTTTATGTATGACTCTAAATATGTTGATACAATCAGGATCAATTCTCATATATTTCATTCTCTCTGTTAAATTATGTCATTTTCTCTTTTCTAGGGCTAATCTCAGTTTATGATCTTAATACTTTATCAAGCATTCTATAACTATTAGCATTCTACAGCTCCAATTTTTTTTCTGTTAGAGATAAAGATAGAGTCCTTCAATCTCACATTTTCTACAATTCCTTTCTTATAACTTGTAGACATAGCCAGGGTACGGTGCCCCGCTTGATTTAATTTTATATGCTTAAATTTCTCAATCTGTATAACTTTCACTCATCCTTTTCCTTGGTACTTCACACTTTAATGCAGATGACCTACAAATCTACAGCAGATGGAATGCAGGTGTTTATCTTCAAATGCTTGTTGAATATTCCACTTAGAAAATGCAACTGCTATCTCAAAACCAAAAAGCCTAAAATGAACTCATCATTCACCTCTGCAAATGAGTTCTTCTCATTGAGATTATTGATTAAATTCAGAGCATGGATCTTCACTCTTCTTTTAAAGATCCTACCTTTGGAGTTATCTTTGATTCTATATTCCTCGTTTCCATATTCAATCTACCACCAACACTTGTAGGTTATCCCTTTGAGAGTTTAAATCACTCCTTCCCTTGGTCTATAATCCCTATTCCACTTCCATTGGTCCAAGCCCCTAGTTTATTTCAAGAGTTCTTTTCCTTTTTCAGCAGAGCCTTCATTGTATCAATTCCACAAGCCCAAACAACATTAATCATCTTTAAGAATGCTCTTGAGTTACTTCCATTGCTCAAAATATCAGTTTTTTTGCATTGTTTAATATACCCTCCTAAACCCCTTGTATTGCATGCAAGAACTGTTCCTTTGATGCAGAATGTTTTTGAAATGGAATCTTAAAATTGCCTCTATGCCAACCAAATTTTTCAGAAAATTTTCTCTTAAATAAAAACTGATTTTTCCCCCAACTTTTGTGTTTCCTCTCCTTTTTGAATGTTTCTCTAGCAACTGGGTGTTCATTTATCAGTCATTCCTTCTCTCTCTTGTGGAGGACAGAACTGTATTTTGTTTGACTCTTCAATTTCTTTCACTCAGATAGCCAGAGATGACTTATAATTTATCTAAGCAATCGTGATGTGCAGTGTTCTCTTTTTCCTCATCTTGATTAGTTTAGCCATAGTCCTTGGGATACAATTCTAGACGAGTCTTATTCTGGAAAAGGTAAGTAGGAAAAGTTTGTCTTGCAGTTAAAAACAAATCAAAGGAAAGAAAAACCATTTATTCTTCCTCAGGATATTGCTGTAAATACATAATCCTTGGGATTGAAGAGATTATATGAGTAGCTGACCTTATTACAAAGTTAGTTATATGAAGATGGCACAGGATAAAGGAAGGAGCAGTCCACGTGGTTCTAATCTTTTGATAACAGAAATTGCTAAAATTAACCAGCTCTAGGGCTCCTTGCTTTTGACCTCTATGTGAGATAATACATTTTCCTTATTGTATTAGTTAAAAATGCAGTTGGTTCCAAGCAACTGAAAACCCAAGTACGAGGAGCTGAAACAGACAGGAATTAATTCATCTCAATTAAAAGAAGCCAGGAAGTTGTCCATTTAAGGTTGGTATTGTGGTTCAACTATGTGGTTGTGAAGCACATATTTTCCATCTGTTCTTTCTGTCGTTTTGTCATCCTCAAGCTCATTCATGGTTGCAAGATGATTTTGGTACTTCCTAGTAGCACATGTTATTCAAGGAATTGAAAGAAGTGGGAAGAGGAAAGGAGAAAAGACTTTTTTCCCCTAGTCTGGTGTTTTTCTTTCAAATTGCCACATTATCTCATTGGCCTCTGGTGGCTACAAGGAAGTCTGGAGAAGATGGTATTTGTAGTTAGTCACAATGCCACCCCAAATAAAATTGGGGGTTCTGTTTTTAAGAAACAAAAAGGGGTACAGGCAACCAATAGGAACTACCATGATGTTAACTGGTTGAGTTTGAAGATTCTGCTACAAGTATATTAATCAATTTATCTCCTTCATGCCATCTAGTAAATCATACTTATATTTGAATGTTCAGCTTGCATCCTATTTTTCCCTTTCCAGCCCATAACAGAGTATATGTGCATGTGTGTTTTATGGCACTTAACATTGATTATAATTTCTATTCATTTGGAAATTCATTACTTCTTTATTGTGGATTGTCGTTGTAATGTTTACCATTGAATCACTATAAACATTTCCATGTGGGCAGTATCACTACTGAACTGTTACATCCATAAGTAATTCTATATATAACTATTAAATGGTAAATGATACAAGGAACTTTGTACTATTTCTTGATGATGATTATTGTGGTCAGTATTTTCAAAATGGTTATTGCTTTTGATAAAATATTTTCTAAATTGTGATATTTGCCATAATTTCTCAAATAGATTCAAAGCAGTACCAACAATATTTAAACAAATAGCATTTTCCCAGTGGTATGATTAATGTAAATACTGATCAACTTACTCATATATTTTTAAGAACTGACCCTATAATTAGTTATTTTTAATTCATCATATTCACATATCTGCCTTAGTTTACTATACCACAATGCATAAGACAGGGATATTTAATACTTTCTCCTCAGCATGAAATGGCCTCATAGAGTGCTGCATTGAGAACAATTTTGAAAAATCTGGGTTCAGTGGGAAAGAAGGCTATGGATAATGATGTTTGCCAACTGTTGTAAAAGGCAGCAGAGAATAGAGAATACACCCACCCACACCCTGCACAAGGCACACTTAATACAGACTTGAGGGAATAATTTTCTTCCATGTCAGAAAAGAACACTTTTTTTTTTTTACTTAACTGTTTCTTTGAAAAAGAATCAATTTCATTTATTCTAAACCACAAATTTTTGCAACAGGAGTTAGAGATGCAAAGAGAATATTTATCTTTGTTTATAACTTATAGTAAAAGTTTACTTATGAAGAATTCCTGAACTTATATAAATAACATGTAATACATCCACTATGACTAACAAATTTCAAGAGTATAAAAATAATGAAGTAGAAGAGGATAACATTATTAATCCTAGAAGACTGAACAAATATACTCTTTACATCATTTAATTCTAAAAGTGCTCTATAGAATGGATGTGATTTATAATATATCTAATATAAAGATAAGGAAATGAATCTCAGAATTTAAATAATTGCTCAACATGTAGGGGTCAACATCAAAATGAAGACTGCAGTTTAATAAACCAAAGGTCCATTTTTCCTCTATATTTGTCCAAAGGTCATTTTGAAAATTTTGTAACTTACTTCATCATCCACAACAGATTATCTGATTGCAGGAACCTAACCCTGATGCCTCCAATGTATTCAAAAGACTAACAAAAAATACTGATGAAATCAATTTGTAGAATCAATGAGTCACCTGTATACCCCTGTGTGTTTTGTAATGCTCTTTTTGGATTTGGACAAAGTCTATCAAAGGTTTTAAGGAAAGTGACTATTTCATTTGTCAACATATTGTTTTAATTTTAATACAATAAAATACTGCATACAGTTGGACACCAAAGCTGTAGGTAACATAAACAAATATGAGTATGCAACTGACTCAGGCTCTGAAAATCAAAACTTTCTTTGTGTATTTTTATATCAATACAAAGAGCTGTGGGAAAAATAAAAATCATATATGGCAGTCTGAGAGAAAAAATGAGTGAAGCCAAGGGGGAAAAAAAGCAGCATTCACATTTGAAAAAGCAAAATACTTAGTAACTGTTTGTTTTACAAGCCAATATTTATGTTGCATGGGCACATGGATGCACATATGCACATGTGAGCTCACACACACACTATATTCTTCATTAGTACTCACCAAATAAACTGTGATGGCCTTTTTATTAATGGCACAGGTTACATTTCAAAAGTAATCATAGTTCTTTTATGACCAACTTTTTCAAAAAGCAAAGAAACTGCATTTTAATATACCCCCAGTTCCCTCCCAAAGTAAAAAGTTAGTTTCTGAAGTCTAAGAAAATGTCTTATCTTTATACATTCAATATTTAGAAAGTTGTTCCTAGACCATGCTAAGGATAGGAATAAATGGAAGAATGTATTTTTTATATAAACATTTCCAATACATGTGCATCTTAAAATGAGAGGAAGAAAACTTACTTTCTGTAACTCTTTTTTCTATGTGCATGTGACAGCTGTCCTTTCCACTCACTGGATTATGCATGTCGATGTCATTATGTTCAAATTATTTTTCCTTTAGACTCCTCATTTTATTTCGATGGTGGTTTTTAAATACTCTACTTGTTATGCCTAGTGGGAAAAAGAGTGATTCCGCAAATGTTTTGGAGCGTTTTTTTAGAGCTCCATTGGAATCCGTTCTCTACAGTCAGTATCAAAACTGTATTTTTTGATGTGCTTTTAAAAAGCTAGAATGAACAGTTGGGGAAAAAACTAACCTATATTAAATATAGGCTTTTTAAAAAAGAACAGCAGGAAGTATTTTTCAATGTATTATAAATTTCATTTGAGAATACATATATCATAAAGGGAATACACAATAATTTATAAAATTAAGTTTATAATACTGTGGCATTGATAGTAGTTTTAGGAAGTGCCAGTGATTTTCACTCCCTTTTACACTTTGACTTAAATTTAAAATATAGCATTAATGTGTTAAGAAATTTAAGCAGATCACAGAAAGACAAATATGGTATGATTCCAAATACTGTCTTTGATACCTAGATTGTCAACTGCATAGAAACAGAAAATCAAACGGTGACTTTCAGGGGTGAAGACAGAAGATGGAGGATTATTGTTTAATGGGTATAAAGTTTCCATTTTTCCAGATGAAAAATGTTCTGGAGATGAAGGGTGGTGATGTCTGTACAACAATGCAAATATATTTAATGCCACTGAACTATACAGTTAGGAATGGCTACAATGGTAAATTGTATAATATGTATATTTTACCACAATTTTATAAATGTAATATATGCAAAAAAAGATAAACTTCTGAGGCATCATTACTATAAGATCCTAAGGAATAAAAATGACATTCAGTTAAAAATAAAATTTAAACATGACTTCTGTGGTACTCCCTTCCTGTACATACATGACATTTTCTCAAAGGTGGAGTCTATCCCTTTAATCTCTTTGAATCTAAGCTAGACATTTTAATTTGCCTGACCATTAGAAAGAGCCAAGAGTGACAGTTTAGAATTTCCAAGGCTGTATCACAGGAATTCTTCTTGTCTTTTCTGTGACTTTTGGAATGCTTGCTCTTGAGAGGGCATTTACTCTGTTAAAAGCCAATCCCATGCAAGATATCTGACTGTCCTATGACAGCTCCTTTATGGAAAGCCCAAGCCACATTAGATTACCCTGGAGGATGAGATGTTATGTCAAGCCAGACAGAGAGACCAAAGAGTACCGATGCACCAAACATGGAAGGGATGAAGCCATTTTGAAAGTGACCCTCCAGTTTCAGCTCTTCCAGCTGGAGCCATGTGGATGAGAAATGACTTGTCTCGCTGATTCCTTTCTGAATTATTGATCCACAAAATTGAGAGAAAAATGAAACTTTTTGAGGCTACTAACTTTTAGGGTAGTTTGCTATTTGCTATAGAGCAAACACTAACTGCAACAGGTAGCCTGAATGGTAGCGAGGTTCCCTATGAATGCTCATCACTAAGAAATAGGAAATAAAAATGTTTTCCGATTTAAATATATGTTCATGTTTTAAAACTACATACTTGGTTTTTTACATGACTTGAAGATATCACTTGAATTAAAGTTTGAATAAAGAAATGAAAGTGCCCAATCTAGTTCTCTTTTCCCAGGGCAATATAGTTGATAAAATTAATCATTAAACTAGTATTCATTTGACGTGTTCATTTTTAGCCTCGTCTATAAAATTAACCATCTTCTGGAAAAGGAAATGAAAATCAATAAAGAAATGTAAATGGATAGGTCAGTTTCTGGCAATTAAAATTCTGACACCCCCTCCCATGCAGTTCTGCACAATGACACATTGCAACTTTTTTGTGACAAGATTGGCTGCAGCTTTTAGTATAGGGGTAAAACTGTTGACAGGGCTGCAATTTGGCTATGTGTATAGTGAAGTGGGAAAAAACTGTTTTGGCTATTTTAAATATACTCTAGTGCAGGAAAAGAACATTTCCTCCGTCATCGATGCCAATGTGTTCCTTTCCTTAAAAAGTGAAATCTGTGCTGAACGCTCGCATCAGAGCAGCCAAATCCACTTACCACAGTGAGCCTCATCAGATCCATCAGAGCAGTCTGGTTTATAGTTGCAGATACGGTGGGATGCAATACACTTCTTGTCGTGGCACAACAAATCAGTGGCTTCTGGACAAATCTCTGAAGTCTCTCCCACTGGGGAAGAAAACAAAAACAAGGTCATTTTTATAATATGTCATTCAATTTTAATATTCTTTTTAGTGGTTTTATAGATTCTATACTTAAATAGGTTACTGATTTTAATAGCTGTCCAAGGCAGACTTCTAGATACCTCCCCACTCTCAGTCCCACGTCCAATTTTTTAGGCTGTGATTTCAAAATCATCCATTCCCTAAATCCAGTGTCTTAATCCAGACACTAAAAATGTTTTGCTTTTGGTTCCTGCTTAGTTTTCTAGTCTCATTTTCTGCAACTGACCTCATAAGTGCCTGCACCAAAACTACAGAATTTCCTACTACTGAAGGTTTCATAAATAAAACACTTGCTCTCATCTTTCTATGTGTGCACCCATGCTACTTCCTTTACCTACACTGACCATTTCCTCTTGTGCTCCTGCTGGTCTGCTCAGCCTCAAGACTCAGCGAAACACCTTCTTTCTTCCCTCGTTTTGCCTTTTCTTTGTCAGCCAAGCCCCAGGTTGGGTACTCTGTTTCATGCCAGCCAAGAACCTTTCCATTCCTATGTTAACTGTTTGCCATCTCTTATAAGAGCCATGTTATATGTCTGTCTGACCCTCCAGACTCCAAGCCCCTTCGAAACAGGAGTGTGGGATGTGTTTTTAGGCTAAACATAGTACCTAATCCATAGTTTGTGCTTAATAAATTATGGGTATAATTACTGAAGGCATAATGCCTTCATTTACAGGAAGTTAGGAATATAAGTAGAATTTGCAAAGCAAGTCACACTTTTTAATTGAAGTATAATTAACATACAGTATTATATTAGCTTTAGGTGTACAATACAGAGATTCACCAATTCTTATTTTTTTAAGGATTTTATTTATTCATTCCTGAGAGACAGAGAGAGAGAGAGAGAGAGAGAGAGAGAGAGATACAGACAGAGGGAGAAGCAGGCTTCTCACAGGGAACTCGATGTGGGACTAGATCCCCAGACAAGGATTACGACCTGAGCCAAAGGCAGATGCTCAACCACTGAGCCACCCAGGCTTCCCAGATTCACCAATACTATGTATTACTCAACGGTCATGTAAGTGTATTCTTAATCCCACTCATCTCTTTCATCCTCCGTCACCCCCACTGATACAATTCCTCCCTGGTAACATTATTTTGTTCTCTGTGTTTAAGAGTCTGTTTTTTGTTTGTCTCTTTTTTTCCTTGTTTATTGGGTTTCTTAAATTCCACATATGAATGAAATCATATGATTGTTTTTCTCTGACTTATTTCACTTAGCATTATACCCTCTAGTTCCACCCATGTTGTTGCAAATGGCTGAATAATATTCCATTGTGTCTGTCTATATTTATATATAATATGTATATATATATATAATGAATGGGTGTACATCTTTATGTATAGGGTATGGAGTGTGTGTGTGTGTATCACATCCATTCATCTACAAATGGATGCTTGAATTGCTTCAATACCTTGGCTATTGTAAATAATGCTGTAACAAACATAAGAGTGAATATATCTTTTTGAATAATTGTTTTCATTTGCTTTGGATAAATATCTAGTAGTAAGATTACTGGATCATGTGATAATTTACTTTTAAGTTTTTAAGGCACCTCTACACTGTTTTCTACTGTGGCTGTGCCAATCTTCATTCCCAATAGTGCACAAGGGTTGTTTTTCTCCATATTCTTGGCAACATTTGCTATTCCTTTATGTCTGTGTTGTTTTAGTTTTTTGCCATTCTAACAGGTCTAAAGTGGTATCTCATTGTTTTGATTTGCATTTCCCTGATGGTTAATAATATTGACCTCTGTCCATTTTTTAATGTGATTATTTGTTTTTTTGGTGTTGAGTTTTTTTTTGGGGGGGGGTTAATGCAAAATAATTTATTTTGTGTTTGATACCAGATGAGACTATAAGGGTGATGGTGCTCATGCCCATTTGCCGTCCCCAGGTGAAGTGCTCTAGGCTTCCGGCTCACTCTGCTACCTAAGAAGGTCCTAAAGGGGGAAAGGAGAAAAAAATGAGTGGGAAATATCAGAAAGGAAGACAGAACATGAAAGACTCCTAACTCTGGGAAACGAACTAGGGGTGGTGGAAGGGGAGGTGGGCGGGGAGTGGGGTTGACTGGGTGAAGGGCACTGAGGGGGGCACTTGACAGGATGAGCACTGGGTGTAATTCTATATGTTGGCAAATTGAACACCAATAGAAAATAAATTTATATATATATAAAAACAAAGATACAGATGCAGTGAAATGCCAGGATACCTGCACCCCGATGTTTATAGCAGCAATGTCCACAGTAGCCAAACAGTAGAAGGAGCCTCGGTGTCCATTGAAAGCTGAATGGATAAAGAAGCTGTGGTCTATGTATACAATGAAATACTACTCAGCCATTAGAAATGACAAATACCCACCATTTGCTTCGATGTGGAATGCTGAGTGAAATAAGTCAATCGGAGAAGGACAAACATTATATGGTCTCATTCATTTGGGGAATATAAAAAATAGTGAAAGGGAATAAAGGGAAGGGAGAAGAAATGGGTGGGAAATATCAGAAAGGGAGACAGACCATGAGAGACTCCTAACTCTGGGAAACGAACTAGGGGTGGTGGAAGGGGAGGTGGGCGGGGAGTGGGGTTGACTGGGTGACGGGCACTGAGGGGGACACTTGTCGGGATGAGCACTGGGTGTTATTCTATATGTTGGCAAATTGAACACCAATAAAAAATAAATTTACAAAAAAAACTGAAAAAAGTCCACTTCCTGTAAGTTCTTCCTATATTTTGAATATTAACCCCTTATAAGATATGTCATTTTAAAATATCTTTTCCCATTGCGTAGATTGCTTTTTGGCCTTGTTGATGGTTTTCTTTGCTGTTCATAAGCTTTTTATTTTGGTTTAGTTTGCTTTTGTTTCTCTTGACTGAGGAGACATAACTAGAAAAATATTTCTATGGCTGATGTCAAAGAAATTACTGCTCATGTTTTCTTCTAGGAATTTTATGGTTTCAAGTTTCATATTTAGGTCTTTAATCCATTTGGGTTTATTTTTGTGTTGGTTTAAGAAAGTGGTCCGGTTTCTTTCTTTTCCATGTAGTTGTCCAGTGTTCTCAATACCATTTGTTGAAAAGACTCTTTTCCCCATTATATATTTTTATCTCTTCTGTTGTAGATTGACAAAATAAGTGTGGGTTTATTTCTAGACTTTCAATTATATTTTATTGATCAATATGCCTATTTTTTGTACCATTACCCTACCATTGTGGTTACTATGGCTTTATAGTGCACCTTGAAATCTGGGATTGTTATGCCTCCAGATTTGTTTTCTTTATCAAGACTACTTCAGCTATTTGGGTATTTTGTGGTTCCATATAAATTTTAGGAATACTTGTTCTAGTTCTGTGAAAAATTTCATTGGTATTTTGATAGGGGCTGTATTAAATCTGTAGATCCTTTGAGTAGTATGGTCACTTTACCAATATTCACAGGTAAATTCTACCAAACATTTAAAGAGTTAAGGTCAATTCTTCTCAAACTATTCCAAAAAATAAAACAGGCAGAAAAGCTTCCATATTCATTCTACAAGGCCAGCTTTACTCTGACACTGAAACCAGATAAAGACATTACCAAAAAAGAGAACTACAGGCCCATATCTCTGAACATAGATGTAAAAATCTTCAACAAAATGTTAGCAAACTGAATCCAGAAATACATAAAAAAAAAAAAAAAAAGATTCACCACAATCCAGTGGGATGTATGTATTCCTGGGATGCAAGTGTGGTTTAATAGTCATAAATCAATCAACATGATACATCAGATAAATAAGAGACAGACAAAAACCATGTTATCATTTCAAGAGATGCAGAAGAAGTATTTGACAAAGTAGAGCATAAATTCAGGATTTTATCAACAAAGTAGATTCCGAGGGAACATAGCTCAACATAATAAAAGTTATATAGGAAAAATCCACAGCTAATATCATCTTCAAGGGAGAAAAACTGAGAGCTTTTCATCTAAGATCAGGAAAAGGATGTCCACTCTTACCATTTTTATTCAAGGTAGTACTGAAAGCACTAGTCACAGCAATCAGACAAGGAAATAAGGAAGTAAGGAAGTAAAACTTCTATTTGCAGATGAAACGATACCAATAGAAAACACTAGAGACTCCACTCAGAAACTGCTAGAACTACTAAATGAATTCAGAAAAGTCCCAGGAAGCAAAATTAATATACAGAAATTGTTGCATTTCTATACCCTAATAATAAAGTAGCAGAAAAAAGTTAAGAAAGTAATCTCAAAAAAAAAAAAAGAAAAGAATCTCATTTATAATTGCACCCAAAATAATAAAATACCTAGGAAGAAATTTAACCAATGAGTTGAAAGACCTGTACTCTGAAAACTATAAAACACTGATAAAAGAAATTGAAGATGATCTCCAAAAAATGGAAAGATATTCCATTCCCATGTATTTGAAGAGCCAATATTGTTAAAAGTCCATATTACCCAAAACAATCTATAGAAATTTGCATATTTGAATATAATTTTAAATCACAGGAAGTCCAATGATGATATTTCATACCTTTAAAGATCTACATGAAAGGTCCCAAATTATTTTATCTCATTCAACAAATTAAATAAAGCTCACAATTCCTTTGTTACCTAGATTATTATAGGTCCAGAGCTGATGTGCCTGTGGTGAGGGTAATTTACTCAAAGTTAGGTAGTATTTCCATGAAGAAAAATAGCAAATCTCACAGATTTGATAAAAATGCAAGTTTTAACTTCTGTAATTTCCAGAAATAATTTACCAGTAAAATGTAGTATAAATACAGAGAATGAAGAGAAACCATCTAAGAAAATGGAAAATATTTTAACTATGGGCATCATCAAGAGAAAGAAAGAAAGGTCATGTACATTGAGTAGAATCTTTGCCAGATAATTTTTAATTAACACTAGTGAGAATTTATAGTTAACCCAGAGCAGTATGTGGACATTATTTA